CAGTATTTGTGCCAAACAAACACACACTGATTTGTACGACTGCATACAACGCAACACCCTCAGAAATCCACACAAGTGCAGTAGTGTGAGGAATTGGGAAGTAGGTCTTCTATTGGCAGAATCCTGTATTATTTCAGATTTTGATACAAATATTTCACTTTTCCAGGTTCTTTTTGTTTGTTTTGTTGATCTTTACTTCCTGATTGTAAAATTGTGACGTTACACATTAGCAGCACTTTGCAAACTTGTGGCCTGAGTGTCAAATTAGGCCGAGGTTGAGTCTTCGGTAAAAGTCTTGCGTCTTTAATGTTTGCCCAGTGTTGAGGAGAATTCTTTGAAAATGTAGTTAGTTAGTATGTTTTGTAATGTGTTCTGAGATTGTGACATATGGTCCAGCCAATGTACTCAATACTTGTAGTTGGAACTCCTGGCTTTGGTCCTGGGTTTGATTCCACCTCCTGCAATCTCCACTCCATTTCTACCACTAAAAACATTAATATGTAACATGTGGTGAATGGGGTCCTGTATGGTGACCCCATTCCCATCCCTGTGTGGAGTAAGAAGACAATTTGTATTTGTATTCTGTGTATTATTGTCTTGTGAGAGGGGGTTGGGAGCAAATAAGCATCTGCTTCACCTAAACCCTTTTCAAACCTGTATTAGTGTAAATATATGTGAAATAGTGTTCTGCAGGTTTGAAATAAATGGAACTAACTAACTAACAAACTAACACATTCTCACATCTGGAGGACTTACTTTCATGCTAAATTCATAAGATTACAGTTTAAAATGCAGCAAAGAACAGTTTAAATAAATAACAAGTGCTTTGTTCAGACTGATAACATCTTGTGGAAAGAAGCTGATAGCATATTGAGATGTTCTGCATCAAAGAAAAGAAGCTGGAACATGCATGGCTTTTCCAGGGGCAAGAAAAGTAATTGATTATTGTAATAGCTCAATTTTAGAGTCTATATTAATAAATAACCTCCAGAACAGACCAGTCAAATGTCTTACTTACAGCTTCACTTCAGAATGCGTCCCCAGTTGTATATTTGTGTGTATATGTACAGTGTGTGTGTATGTGTGTGTGTATGTGCAGGACAGTAGAAGAGTTGGCTCCAGCGGCCATTGCGGACGCTCCCATTTCACGCTCTTTGAGGAGGTCGGACTGCGCTGCCAGGACTGGATCATGGTGGGACTTAGACCCAGTACCAGGACTGGATCACGGTGGGACTTAGACCCAGTGCCAGGTCCGGATCAGAGCCGGGATCAGTGATGGAACGGGACGTCTCCCATAAAACCACAGCTCAAGTGTCTTCATTTCCACGCTCTGCCGCCATTTGGAACCCAAACATACACACGTACAAACGCACGCACACACAATAAATGGCGATTGGCGGCACGGTGGCGCAGTGGATAGCTCTAGTGCTTCATAACGAGAAGGTCTTGGGTTTGATTCCACCTCCAGGACCTTTCTGTGTGGAGTTTGCATGTTCTCCCTGTGTTTGTAGGTTTCCTCCGAGTACTCCGGTTGTGCAATAGGTGAGGTTTAAATGAGTGTGTGTTTGTGAGCGTGACTGTGGAAGTACAGATGCAAATTGGCTACTAACTGGTGTATTTATATCTCCAGCCATTCATAAATATGCACTGTCCCATCCAAAACAAAACAAAATAAATAAATACAAATTATTGCAAGGTGGCCAATGAATTCAGAAACTGGAGGCGCTTTAGAAAAAGTATGATCTTCACCAGAGAGGAGAAAGAACTTCATCCACAACAACCACAAACGACTGGGAGTCATATCAGTTAAAGGGGAAGTAGACGCTATTGAGAAGTCGAGGATGGAAACTTCTGATCAGGTTCAGAACAGGAGTTTCCGTTGTTGTGATAAAATTAAAATAGAAAAGCTGTTTGTTTGACATTAAATGGTGTCACACAATCACTAACAATGAGAGAAATGTATTCTGCATCTCTGAAATATGTTCAAAAGAATCTTGTCTCCAGTCTCTTCAATGTCCTATTCAGCCTCGACACATCTTCATTCCATTTGTCCATAAGTTGTCCCGTCACAGTGGTCCCTCTGAATGCTCCCTCCCTCCCTCCACCCTGGGCCCTGTCCCGTGGGTGACTGATGCCCTGATTAAACTCACCCCCCCATGATGGATCCGTCCTATCCATCACGGCCGCTGTCCCGCCCTGGTATGGAGCATTTCCGTGGGGCTTCTGTCTTTATGTGGCCACGTGTGCGTTGAGGTGAAAGTGGCGCTGTGGACGGCCGTGACAAATCTAATTGCTCCTTCATAGTCACTCCCATAATCTGATTTAGTTTTACATGTGTCTTTCAGGGGTGGGTGAAGCCATATGTTCACTAGGCACGGAACTAAAGTGTGAAATTTAGCATAATAGTTTGTGGATTTGACCTGGATGTGTAGCAATAACATTCAAAGGACATGTTTTTGTTCATTAGAAAATCAAATTAAAACATTTGCATGTGTTTTGTTTTGGCACGTGCAAATTTGTGAATGAACATTTACGAGCCGAGCGCTGAGCCTTGAGGGACACCTGTACATATTTGAGCAGATATATGGTTCATGTTCAGTTGAATCGAGAAAAGGAAAAGCACCAAAGAAGGTTGGGGTAAATTCTTGATGGTTTATCACTTTGAAACTTTTAGCTGAAAAATAGACAAATGAATAAACATTTATGAGCCAAGCACTGAGCCTTGAGGGAAACCATGACATATTTTCACATGTTATACCACATTGAAAAAAGTAGAATGATATGTTTCCAAACTTCTTGCATTTCCACAGACGCTAAACCATGGCCTGATCGTTCGGAACTGTTGCCTTTTTATAGCCATTTATAAATATTTTCAACTAATACCATGACACAATGATCCTTTTTTGCCAACCTGTTGATACGACAAATACAGGCCGGAAACATTGAAAAAAATATCAACCAGAAAAAAGCCTTCCTTATCAATATTTACTGAAATTTAAAACTATCTGGTGGTTTATTGTTTGTGAAGCAATTGTTTCAAAAGAGATGCATGGGTGGAGATCTTGATAAACAGTCATTGTTGTTTGTCCTGTCTTAATTTTGACCCAAAGTAAACATCGCATTATCAGCAGTAATACAGTGTAACCACAGCCACATAGATGTCTTGTGTGGTCTCCATTTGTTGGCTTGTTTTCACTTTCTTTCCTGTGATTGTCCCAGGGCAGGGCTTTTGCATTGTCCCTCTTCCATAACCCCACCCCTCTGGCCCAGCTCAAAGCATCAAGCACTCACACCGCGGTGCAAGCAGCAGATGACCCAACTTTTACATTTTTATTTAACGCAAAGAAATCAAAGCGTTCTTTCTTTGGAGGAGATGGAAAAAGACTTTATCACACACTGCAAAAAACTATAAAATATGAGGTAGAAATTACTTGATTGTTTTAATAATGTAATTTGAGTACATTCTGAGTGTCTTTAAACAGAATTTGCCAATGGGACAAAGCCATTTAGTCTTAATTCAAGAAATGCTGCATTATTTTCTAATTTTAAGGGAGACATTTCTTTTATCTTTTTAATATAAGATAATTTTACTCGTCCCATTGACAAATCTTGTTTTAAGGCAGTGAAAATGTCATCACTTTTTCCAGTGCATGCAGACACTTCGGAAATGTGTTGTGAAATATGAATGAAAGATGCAAATATGTTCCCCTCTGAATGTTTTATGTTGATTTAATCGTGCTATGGGTGTGTATCTTCTGATAGCATATGGCAATGTTTCACAACCGGGAGTACACAGACCCATAGCGGTACACAGGGGTATTACAGGGGGTACTTAAAATGATATACTGTGCTCTCAACCAAGTGATGATGGACCATGATGGAATGTCGAACAGGTTTGAGAATACATAGATTCAGAGGTGTGGACTCGAGTCATGTGACTTGGACTCGAGTCAGACTCGAGTCATGATTTTGATGACTTTAGACTCGACTTGACCAAATGTAAAAAGACTTGCAACTCGACTTGGACTTTAACATCAATGACTCTGACTTTCACTTGGACTTGCGCCAATTGACTTGCAAAGACTTGCGTAACCCGGGCCATTTTTACCTTTCTCCGCATCTCTCTTTCTATCTATGCCGTCTCTGAAGAAACAAAGCCTCGCGGTAGTTGTAGCGCTCGCGAGAGAGTTCGAACGTGAGTTCCCCGCAGTTCGCGCAGCAACACTTCCCTAAACAAGCGCACTGCATTCACCGGTGGGTGTGTTGTCTAGGGGAGCTGGAAATGAGCGAGCTGCAGGTATTTATCGCGACCTAACGTCATATTTTGTTCTACAAACCGTAATTGATATGCTTTCACTACAGGCGCCTCATACAATTGAATCGACGCAGTTGTCACACTGTGTGCCGTGTTTTAAAGAGGAACTGGTGAGTCAAACTAGCGCTAGCCTGCGCTGCTCTGTTAGCTATTTCTTATATTTTTCTGTGTGGGCGCCGAGGCCTATTATTATGAGTATGTTTTTGCTGTGCTCCTCCTGCTAAAGTTTGCATACATCAGAATCAGAATCAGAATCATTTTTATTGCCACGTAAGTAACAGGAGGTCACAGACTAGGAAATTGCTTTGGCTCAGTGCAACAGTCAAAAAGAGATAATAAAAATAAGAATAAAAAACACTTCTAAAGAATAAATTTAAATTTAAAATAGAGTTACAGTTACTATTTACAATATACAAGTGCACATGGTGCACACAATGTAAGGTGACAGCAGTACAGTGAAGTAAAGTGACGTATGATGGGCAGTAAAGTAAAGGGCGGGGGGACAGGTTAAGAAGTGTTCAAGAGTCCAACAGCAGAGGGGAAGAAACTGTTCTTGTGGCGGGAGGTTCTAGTCCTGATGGACCGCAGCCTCCTGCCTGAGGGGAGTGGTTGGAATAGTCCATGTGCAGGGTGAGAGGGGTCGGCTGTGATACGACCAGCCCGGCCTCGAGCTCGGGCGACGTACAGGTCCTGCAGCGATGGAAGGCTGCGGCCGATCACTTCCTCTGCAGAGCGCACAATGCGCTGTAGTCTCTGTTTGTCCCTGACTGTGGCTCCAGCGAACCACACGGTGACTGAGGAGGTGAGGATGGACTCGATGATGGCCGTGTAGAACTGCACCAACATCTGTGCAGGCAGCTTGGCTTTCCTGAGCTGCCGCAGGAAGTACATCCTCTGCTGGGCCTTCTTGATGAGGGAGCTGATGGTCGGCTCCCACTTGAGGTCCTGGGTGATGGTGGTGCCCAGGAAACGGAAGGACTCCACAGAGGTGATGGGGGAGTCCATCACGGAGGGTGGGGGTGGGGGAACAGTGCTCTTCCTGAAGTCCACAATCATCTCCACTGTCTTCTGGGCGTTCAGCTCCAGGTTGTTACCACTGCACCAGGACACCAGCCGGTCCACCTCCCTCCTGTAGGCGGACTCATCGTTGTTGGAGATGAGTCCAATGAGGGTGGTGTCGTCCGCGAACTTGATCAGCTTCACGGAGTCGTGGCTGGAGGTGCAGTGGTTGGTGTACAGGGAGAAGAGCAGGGGAGAAAGAACACAGCCCTGTGGGGCTCCTGTATTTATAATCCGAGAGTCCGAGACATTCTTCCCCAGACGCACTCGCTGCTTCCTGTCCGTCAGGAAGTCAGTGATCCACCTGCAGGTGGAATCGGGCACGTTGAGCTGGGAGAGCTTGTCCTGGAGCAGGGATGGCAGGATTGTGTTGAAGGCAGAGCTGAAGTCCACGAACAGGACCCTGGCGTAGGTCCCCGGGGAGTCCAGGTGCTGTAGGATGTGGTGGAGGGCCAGGTTAATGGCGTCGTCTACAGATCTGTTGGCTCTGTAGGCAAACTGCAGGGGGTCCAGGAGGGGGGAGGTGAAGGACTTGAGATGGGAGAGAACCAGGCGTTCAAATGACTTCATGACGACAGACGTAAGTGCTACAGGTCTGTAGTCATTGAGTCCTGTGATCCTGGGCTTCTTCGGGACGGGGACAATGATGGAGGATTTGAAGCAGGCCGGGACATGGCAGGACTGCAGAGAGGTATTGAAAATGTCCGTGAACACAGGAGTAAGCTCACTGGCGCAGTGTCTCAGAGTGGCCGGAGACACGTGTTCCGGGCCAGGAGCTTTGCGGGGGTGCAGCCTCAGGAAGAGTTGTTTAATCTCTTTAGCGGCTATTGTTAGGCTGGGGGCAGGGCTGAAGGGTGGGTCGTTAGAGTAGTGGGGGGTGGGGGAGGGAGAGGTGTCAGGGGCAGCATCAAAGCGACTGAAAAATAAGTTCAGATCGTCAGCTAGCTTGTGGTCGTCAGCACAGGGGGGGGCTTTGGGCTTGTAGTTGGTGATCTCCCGTAGGCCCCTCCAGACAGAAGCAGTATCGTTGTTACCAAACTGCTCCTGTAGTCGTTCTCTGTGCCGGGACTTGGCTGCTTTCAGTTCTCTCCTGAACTGATATTTAGCTGCTTTGTAGCCGCTGCGGTCCCCCTCCCTGAAAGCAGACTCCTTTGCTTTCCTGAGCTGCCGGAGTTTAGCAGTGAACCAGGGTTTGTCGTTGTTATAGATGACCCTGGTCCTTGTTGGAATGATGCTATCCTCACAGAAGTGAATGTATGACGTCACAGTGTCCGTGTATTCATCCAAACTATCTGTGGCAGCTCTGAAAAGGTCCCAGTCTGTAGATTCCATGCACGCGCGCAGCTCTTCCACAGCTTCATCAGACCACACTTTGGAGCTCCTCACTGCAGGTTTCGAGAGCTTCTCTGTCTGTAAGCAGGAACCAGATGTATCATGGAGTGATCTGAGAAGCCGAGGGCTGGCTTGGGAACAGCGCGAAAAGCTCCGCGCACGGTGGTGTAACAGTGATCCAGAGTGTTCTCCTCTCTGGTTGGGCATTTGATAAACTGTCTGTATTTGGGTAATTCCTGGCTCAAGTTTCCCTTATTAAAATCCCCCAGGATAATAATCAGAGAGTCCGGGTATAAGCGTTCCATACACAGTACTTGCTCTGCGAGTGCGCGCTGAGCCTCGCGCGCGTCCGCGCATGGCGGTATGTAAACAGAGGCAAGAATGAATGAAACAATTTCGCGCGGGGAGTAATATGGTTTACAATGAATGAAAAGATATTCCAGAGCAGGAGAGCAGTGCTTGGAGATCACTGTCACATCGTTACACCAGTTTGTATTGACGTAGAAACACAGCCCACCGCCTCTGCTCTTCCCTGAGAGCGCACAATGGCGATCCGCGCGGAACAGCCCAAAGCCCTGCAGCTCCAGAGCGCAGTCCGGGATCCGCTCATTTAGCCAGGACTCAGTGAAGCAGAGGACACAGGATGTGGCGAAGTCCTTGTTTCTTCTCATGAGCAGGCTGAGTTCGTCCATCTTATTGCCCAGTGAGCGTACGTTGGAGAGAAAAATGCCGGGGAGAGCCGTGCGCGCTCCTCTCCTCCTAAGACGCACGAGCAGGCCTCCGCGCTTTCCCCTTTTACGGGCCCACACTTTTTTGGCTAGAACATGAACTAAATCAGCCGCAGATGCCAAGAAAACAGGCAATAGGTCCATGGGAACGGTGGGTCGGATGTTCATAAGTTCCTCACGGGTGTAGGAACAGCCAGATGCGCAGTTAAAAAGTAAAAACAAAAGAAAAAGAGAGCAGCAAAGAGCCATGTCGACCGTACGAGGCGCCATCTTTGTTTGTACATTAGATAGTTGTTTTGATTATGTGCACTAAGCTAGATTAATATTTGCACTATTGTTTATGGTGCATTGATATGAGAATCAGTGCTTTGACTGATTGAATTAATTTATATGAGACATTTTATTATGTAATGATATATTGGTAATTATGAGATATTACTAATGCTGGTCCAGTTCATACAGGCCAGGGTCCTTCCCCTCCATTGGTCCCTTCAGTCCTTTGGAACAATAACCACTACGGACATTAAACTGATTATATAGATACAGGTCCTAGCCCAATACTCATATTCATATATGCTGCACTGCTGCACTTGCTACTTCCCATTAAAAACCCCAAAGATAAAAAGTATGTTGACACAGACTGCTCTGATTTTATGTGTGGTCTGTGCATGTGTAACTGAGCCTGCATCTGGCACAACATCCAATTAGATCACGTAGATAGTTTTGATTTACCAGCAGCCAATGACATGGAACAAACTGTTAGTCCATGGGTCAGAGACCAACGAGAATGCACCAGCAAAATGATTCCTAACATTATTTTGTTTGCCTACAAAAGTACGTAGAGACCAACAAGAAACAAATCACGGTCAAAAAGACTCGAGAGGACTCGAAAGTCAAACCGTAGGACTTGGGACTGACTTGAGATTTGTTGGCCTTTGACTTGGACTCGACTCGGGACATGCCTGTCTTGACTCGTGACTTGACTCGGGACTTGAGGGCAATGAATTGAGACTGACTTGTGACTTGCTAAACAATGACTTTGTCCCACCTCTGCATAGATTACATAATACTCCCTTCATAGCAGTCAAGTAGTGGTATTACAGGGAGTACTTTAAAGGATTTTCAAAATACTATTATGGCATGCTCTACATCATTTTAAAGCTAATTCCTTCAAGAAAACAACACTATAATTTATTCTATTCTAAATATTGAAGCCAAAACAAAACAATAATTATAATAACGGCTTAATAACGAGATGGGAAAATATCAGACCGCAAATCAGCCAATCAGAGTGCGCGTACGGTCCGAGTCATATAATAATACTTTGTCTACAAGCATGCATGAAAAGCCATGAAACATTTTTTGTCCAGTTTTGTCCAAGCATGTACTCATTTTGTTCAGAGAAATCTACAACGCAAGTTAAATAAAAGTATAAATTTGGTCTAAATACCAACTCGATTCAAGCAAATATAACTCTTTACCGTTTTATTGTCTGAGAAATGTAATTGTTGCTGCAAACCGTGCTCTTGGCTTTGAGAACGCTTTTTAACCCTCCTACTACACTGACCTTTTTCACTAAAACGCCTCCAAAATTCAATAAAAATTCAATCTGGATCTGTTTGAGAACACTTTGGAGCACAAACACATGGCTGGAATCTTTGTGAAGCTGAAGCCCTGTAGTTCTGGCCTCTTGTGGCTCATTTACTCTAAGTGTAAGTGGGAACAATCTCAGCACAGAGAAAGATAAAACAAAAAACAACGTTTAAAAAACCTATTCACCTTTTGGACTATTTCATTGGTGAGTTTGGAAATCAAACTGGTCCAGCTTCATCCCAGAAGGTTTGTGTTTTTCCCCATCTCTAGAGTTTTGGTATTTTTAATGTTGAAATGTCTAACAGAAAAAATAAAGTTTTATCTGTACAGGTGCAGTTAGGGGTTAGACACATTTTAAATAATTGAGAGTTGGGGGTAGAAAATTAGAAGATTGATTATAAACTTCACTACTACTGTTTAAAATATCCATTGTGAAACAGGAATAGAATCTCTGTCTAAGTCAATGAAAACCTCTGGAGATAATTTCAGATAGCAATACAGACAGGTCACATTTTGAGGTCCAGGGGGAGAGGAGTCATTGCAGAATATTAAAACAGCCATGCACAAAGCAATGTACATTTCCAGGTAAGTTTCTGATGAAAGCTTTTTATCAGAAACACCAGCCTCCTACTGTTGTCCAGAGTCAGACCTAAACATGGGGAGGCTGCATTTCAGATTTATGCATCTAAAATCTGGAACAGTCTTCCTGAAAATGTGAGACAGGCCTCTTCTCTGACAATGTTTAAATCCAGGTTAAAATCTGTTCTTTTTAGCTGTGCATTCTTTTATTATTTATGACTTTTGTGACTGCCTCTATCTTGTTTTGTTACGTACTTTGAGTTGCCCTGTGTATGAATTGTGCTATACAAATAACCTTGTCTTGCCTTTTAAGCTCTGATTTGTTTGAACATTGGAAAGAAACCGTAATCTCAACTGATGGACCAGTGATGATGGACCATGATGGAATGTAGAACAGTATTGAGAGGACATAGATTCTCCCAAGACAGCAAGTGTAACAAGATAACGCCTCACTTTGCAGAAGATTGATTAAGAGCTCAGGTGAGGTCTCTTAGTCTTGCGCGAAATCGAGCCGTTTCCTCAACAACAAAACTGCCCCACGTTCTGCTAATACACTCTGTCAGTAGTTTCGCGCCTTTCAGATTTTCCAACGTCTTCCTGAAATCCTCACCGACGCCTCGAGCCTGTCCAACCACAGAGCAGTCCCTTGTCCAGCCAAGACCTCTCTCTTTACCGTCCACAACCTTCCTATATGTTCGCTTGTCATCGGTTTCTCAAAGAACCGTGGGCGCGATAGAAGCGTCCCCAGAGCAGATGTTGAGAGGTTTGCTTCTTTTCGCAGAGGGAAACTTGTCAAGAGGATTAGTGTGAGAAAGGACCCAGAAAACCATAGATGGGTATCTCTGTTTCCCGTGATATAGGGTTAATTTTGGCAAGAGTTATTTTGTACTTTTAGTCAAAAAAAAACTAAAAAAAACAATGTTAGAGGGACCGGTTAACCATTTGAGTCACTGTATCTACTTGAAGCTTAGAACTAGGGCATCTCACTTTTGGCGGTACGGTGGCTGAGTGGATAGCACTCTCGCCTCTCAGCAAGAAGGTCCTGGGTTCGAATCCCGGTTGGACCAGGGCCTTTCTGAGTGGAGTTTGCATGTTCTCCCCGTGTCTGCGTAGGTTTCCTCCGGGTGCTCAGCTTTCCCCTACCACAAAAAATATGTACAATAGGTCTGGCATGTGCCCCCTGTACTGGCACCCCCACTCCCAAAAAAAATAACAATTGTAAACCGCTTTGAGACTTCGATGTGCAGTGAAAAGGCGGTATATAAATAAACATTACTACTAATTACTACTACTATTTTACCATCAAAATGCATCTCAACCATTTGGTTAAGGCTGAATATTAAAAAACTAGGAATTCAAAATAAAAGAAAACATGAAAACTAATGATTTCTGTTATTAGTGCTCCTACATCTCAGAAATGCATTGCTTTCTTCAAGGAGTGAATATTAAAGGGTTACAGACCGTATATTTTGAAAAGAGAGAAACGTTTTTCTCTCTTGTTCCCAGTTCATTGTTCCCAGTTCAGTCAGTTGTTTTAGAGCCATCCATGCTAATAACAAGCTCCTGTCCCAGTCCTGGTTATTGTAACACTATGACATCACACTCAGAGCAGATTTCTGCCTTTTAAAACAAAAATAAATAAGTCTTGGCAATTTCTCAGGTGAAATTATTATATATAAAGTATGCACACATTTAACAAATAAACAAAAATGAAACGAAATTATTGCTTTTGTATAGCTCTAAATAACAACAGTAGTTATCTTCAACGGTAGATCAACGGTTCAAACACAGTCCATAAGGGGCAGATGACCAATGTTCATAAATGTTGATGAATGTTGAATATCCTGGATCAAGGACATCACCTCTGTCCTTCGACATCAGTAAGGAAAATTATGTTCTTCACAATTGCATGGTTGCTGTCGCAGAACATAATGGTACATAATTTTCAAATTAAAAAAAAAGTATAAAAATAAATAAAAACAATGTATTCCATATCTGAGTATCTGTATCAAAATACTATGAAGTTGTTTTTTTTTTACCAATATTGCCTTTATTCTCACTTCATCCAGTTCCAATAAGCAAAACCCACAACATTCACAGAAAAACCATGGCGATAATTCTTGAGTCTACGCAAGAAACATTTGCTAGTAACAAATGCCGGATGCCCTGTTCGATCCGTTTGCCTCCAGGGTCACGCTCAAAGGCGTAGGGCGGCCGCGGACACAGGCGCCCCGGTGGGAGAGGGTCTTCTCGGGTGACCGCGCACCCGGGCCCCATGCCTTCGGCCGGGGAAGCTCTGGGAGGCTTCTGTTTCGAGAGGTGTCAGCGAGATGGATGGCTAGGAAGCGCGTGTGGAGAGAGGGGTGGGGTTGCACTGACAAGTGGGTACCCCCCGATGGAAGACTGTCAAGGAGCGGGTGTCGGTGATGAAATACTTTGAGAAATTTAAGTCGAGGAAAGAAAATGTCCATGGAAAGAAGACATTTTTCTATTAAAGGGTTTTAAATGTAAAACCAGTGGTACCAATGTTGTTTTCTTGTAAATAACAAAAATGTGTTACACCAGAAAGAATATTTGGGAACACACTATTCAATTCAATTACAATGTATTTGTGTATCGCCCTAAATCACAACAGCAGTCGTCTCGGAGAGCCTCACAAAGTTGTTGATTCGCCAACAACAGATCAGAGAATAAAACGGTTCAAGCACAAGAAACGGAAGAATAACAAACACATAGAAGTCATTGGTCCATAGGGAGCGGGATGACCAATGTTTATAAACATTATTAAAAGTCCCAAATGATTAATGTCCTTAGACCCCCCCAGCAGAGAGAGACAATACAAAAAGAAAAAGAAAGTGAGACACCTTAGGCCTATAGGCTACTGTATACTGAGAGAAAGTCCTCAAGTCCTGGCCAAGCGTTCATAGCGACGCCGCTTTTTGATCCTTCGATGTCGGCTCTTCCTATCATTGTGAAGCAGAATTTACCAAGCGTTGGATTGTTCACCCACTAATAGGGAACGGTAGTTGGGTTTAAACCTTTGTGAGACAGGTTAGTTTTACCCTACTGATGATGTGTTGTTGCAATAATAATTCTGAAATCCTGCTTAAGTTCTGGATCTACAGCATGTCTTTCCCGTTACACCACAACATGTTGCCTCCATCTTGATAGAAAACATTATATATTTTGCACATGTCACAAATTGACACCTTGGGCTGGGAGCTGATTGGCTGAGTGAGGGTGAATAAGCTGATCTAAAGCGGGCGGCACGGTGGCTGAGTGGATAGCACTCTCGCCTCTCAGCAAGAAGGTCCTGGGTTCGAATCCCGGTCAAACCAGGGCCTTTCTGAGTGGAGTTTGCATGTTCTCCCCGTGTCTGCGTAGGTTTCCTCCGGGTACTCCGGTTTCCCCTACCACTAAAAATATGTCCAATAGTTCTGGCATGTGCCTCCTGTACTGGCCCCGCTCCCATCTCTGTGTGGAGTGAGAGACAAATGCCCAAAATTAACAATTGTAAACCGCTTTGAGACTCAGATCTGCAGTGAAAAGGCGGTATATAAATAAAATAAATAACTAACTTACTTACTAACTTATTCACCATTACCCCGCTCCAATCTCTGTGAGGAGTGAGAGGACAAGTGCCCAAAAAATAACAATTGTAAAGCGCTTTGTGACTCTGGTCTGTGAAAGGCGGTATATAAATAAAGATTACTTACTTACTTAAAGATGTGACAGAGGCCAAAATACATGCATGTATAGAACCAAACTGCGAGGAACAAGTCACATGGCTTGTACATTTGCTTGGTCTGAAAGTCAGGTTGGTACCCCAGAATTAATGTTGATCTGAAAAACCTCATAAACTAATGTTATCATAAGAACCTTTGTGCCACGTTGCCGCAAACGTCATCCCAACAAAATGACTACTCCGCTGCAGATGTTTTTCATTTGAGCCAAAGTTCAAAAAGGAAAAGAGTGAAGGACTGTTGGTCGGAGGGACAGCGGCAGCCTCTCTTCCGTGGGCAGCTGTGGCAACAACGTAATGCGTCATAACCTCTGGTTTTTAACATGTGTGTGTTATGCCATTCAGTGCCTTGACCTATTTTTATTGATTTTATTTCATCAGGTTGCTTTTTATTACATGATCGTGGTCTGAAATAACGTATTTGTCGGCTTTACTTTCATCAGCCCTTAAAACAAACCTGCTATATAAATAAAAATGGTATAAAAGAGGATTTTCCCAAATTTTAGGAAAGAACCGCCCTGTCCACTTTTTGAACAAAACTCTCTGGTCTTATTTGACGAGCACGTATCACCAGAATGATTGACGATTAGGAGGACCAATAGTCTTAGAAAATCAGTGAATTAACATCAATGTATTCTTGTATAGCCCTAAATGACAACAGTAGTTATCTCAAAGGACTTAACGAAACCGTCAAATTTGTAGATCAGAGAATCAAACAGTTCAAACACAGAAAATGCAATGATAAAAGAAAAAACACGAAGAGCCATTGGTCCATAAGGGGCAGATGACCAATGTCCAAAAATGTTGAATGTCGAGTGTCCTTGATCATCACCACTGTCCCTAGACCCTCCTGCATCGGCAAGGAAAAACTGTGAAAACCCAGTCGTAGAGTATTTCAGATACATTTTCTTAGTGTACAGGTAAAACTCTGAAAATTAGAATACTGTTCAAAACTGTATTCATTTCTGTGAAACCAAGATATGATATGGACAAATATGTCACATGCAAATTGACATAATATTGCAGTAAATTAACCAAGAAAAGGATGCCTATTCCTTTTTTGGTTGCAATTCATGACATTCTATTGTTTTAACTTTAATTTTGTTGATGTGATGACCAAAATAAAACCATCCATCAATCAATCTTTTTAACGATATTCTAATTTTCAGAGTTTTACCTGAGTCCTTTGCGTTGTAGTATTGAATTTACAGCCCGTGTCCAAAGCTGCTGAGTCGGCTGAAAAGGTGAGCTCTTGTCTGTCCAGTGGGAAGTCTTCAGATGTAGCGGCTGCGATTGTAATCTGGGCTCTCAGGGGCCTTACAGCGGCGAGGTACAAGGCCGTGTCAGGGGCCGCGGCTTCATGTACTGTCTTCTACTGTCTCTCTGGGGGTCTTCCGGGGGTCCCAACCTCCTGCTCTTCCTCAGTGTCAAGTGTTACAGCTCTTCTGGGCAGCAGGGACCACGCTTCGGGGGCAGGGGCCAGTTTAAGTTTAGTGGAAGCCAGTGTTTGAACAGACCGGCCGACACCGGAAAGAGAGGTTTGCAAGAGTCAATGTGGGACATAACATGAAACACTGACTTTTCACAGCGTTGGACCATAGTATAGATGTTCTGTTTGCTCTTCAGAGATCTTGAATTTCAGCACAGAGACGGGAGAAAACGTTACTGTATGAAAGAAAAATATACTGTATATGTCATACGTGTGTGTTTTTCAATTTTTTTGTAGAATTACTACTAGCAGGTTGTTATGTTCCCGACACTTTTTGTTTCTGATTCAGATTCAGTAAAACCACATTGGAAGACATCTGCCAAAATCCCCAGTGTACACAAGACAAGAACATAAAAGGTTAAAAGTACAGAAATAAAAATAACTTTAAAATGTGCAGGAAACAATTGTCACTGTGAAATTGATCAGCTAAAACAGTTTAAATATAAGTGCAAGAACATTAAAGTGCTCTGTTTAAACTGGCTTGTGGAAAGAAGCTAATAGCTAAATGAGATGTCCTACATTTCTACAAACGATATCTTATGCCAGGGGGAAGGAAGAAGCTGGAACATGGCTTCTCCTGGCACCAGAAGAGTCATTGATGATTTTAAGAACTTGATTTAAGAGTATGGATTCATAAAGAACCCCCCGAAGAGGAAGCTCACATCTCACAATCGTATGCACCTTGTTTACAAGAACCGGCGAGCAAACTTTCTATGGTGTGGTGGTTAAAGTGAAGCAGGATCTTAGAGTTTGTGGTTAATTCTTTAAATGTCTGCCACTATTTAAGAAAACAATAACTCTATACTTAAATTAAATTAAATAAAACGACTAACATTACCGGAGCTCTCCAACTTTAGCATAATGAAGAAGAAGAGAATTAAGTACAAAATCTCAGACACTGGCATAATATCTTTCCGTATGTGGTCATTTATGTTTTTCCACGTGTTGTCCAGTCGTCTACAACGTTCTCATATCCCAATTATACCCCAATAATTGCCCGCCCCTGATTGAGATGTAAGGAAGTAGCACAAAGCATTGGGACACAACCCGTGGCCTTCACTGGTAAAGTTTAGTTGCTACTTGTGTCGGGATGAGCGATGGCCAGCTCTCCTCTCGTCTGTCTTTGGAGCGTAAACGTGGCCTGTCTCATGCTAACGCTGCTGCTGGGACGGGGGACAGAGGAGGAAGTGGACTCAGGACTGGTGTATTGTGTGTTCTGACGGATCACTGCCCCTCTGAGACCTGCTGGGGATCTGCTCACAAGACGGAGAGCCCTCTGATCCGTTTCCGAGACAGTAGATCACAAGCCCCGCCCCCTGGCTCCTGCAGATGTGGTAAAAAGATGGAGACAAGATGGTTTGGAACTCGGCTCTCCGCCTCTTTGTATCAAAGACTGAGTGTGACGCGTTCCTGCAAAGCTGTTCAGAGATGTAATGGGATTGTGAGGAGTTGATGGATTATTTGTTTGTTTTAAATGTATACATTTCATGCAAAACAAAACAAAAATCAAGAAAAAGTAAGAAACAAACTGAACCTACATAAATATTATTTTTAAACATTTCAGCACACAAACACACATGTGCATACATCGGTGGTTCTCAACTGGACATGCATTATATTAACAAAACAAATGTTAATTAAGTTCAATTTATTTTACTTCAAGTTAAAACCATTTTTTGAATATAATTTCCAGGATTTAGTGTGGGTATTAAAGTAGAAACATGACACAACAACACAAAAAATAACTTTCTAAAGTTACTTTCCCTTGCAAAATCCTCTATATGAGCTGGCCAGGCACTGAAAAACTACCAATGTAATTGGTTAAACCAACATTAGAGGCATTTATTAGATTCATCAATATGTTGTTTGAGGGCCAGCCAATTTAATTGGTCAGACCGATGTTTGTTGGATTGACCAGTGTATCGGTCGTTTGGCACTATACCAAAATAGAATGGTTTTAAACACTACCATCGAACCTGCGAACTATACGGTTGCAAAGGATGGAGGTGCTTTGCACTGAAAGAGGACTGTGAGCTGCATGTTCTTTATGAATCCAGACTCTTAAAATAATCATTGACTCTTCTGGCCCCTGGAAAAGCCATGTTCCAGCTTTTTCCCACTGACAGAAGATATAGTTTGTTGAGATGCAAGACATCTCATTTCGCTAACACCTTCTTTTCACCAGATGTTATCAGTTCAAAAAGGCAACTTTAAATGATCTTGCACTTATTGAAACTGTTTTAGTCGATCGATTTCACAGTGTCAGTTGTTTCTTGCACTTTTTTAGTTAGTTTTATTCCAGTACTTTTAGCCTTTTTTATTTATGTACTTGTCATGTGCACACTGGGGACTTGTACATTTATTCATCTGTATCTGAATCTAAATGTTATTACAGTATATAGTGGTAAAATGTAATATGAAATATGAAAGCTATGAAATGAAGTATTTTTCCCCAGTTTGGAGGCATCCTTTTGATTTTTAAGCCCAAAAAAGTGTGAGCAGAGTCTAGAGACACCCTGGCCCAGCTCACTCCTGCCCCTAGTGGACATTCCCTCTGTGCCCTGACCCCGTCCCTGAGTGACAGCAGCATTGAGGGCAGTGAGAGGCGTGACCCTGGCCTCTTTTGGAGCCCGGACCCTGGATCAGGCCCACCCCTCTGGCCTCTGACACCTCCTGAATGCACCAGGGCACCTTTGGGTGACACCGGGCCGTTTAGCAGTGTCACCCTACACCCTAAAGAAGCCACTTTCACCCATGGGACACACACAAATCTGTCAAACTGAACGAGACGCGACACACATTCAGTTCTGCGCAATAAACAAGTTAATGTAAGTCAATAGTTTTCATGAGAAGTCGTAAAGTGAGGATTTTGGCTTTGATTGTTGGAGAAAACTGAAATCAAATGTTAGAAAATTACTACAGAACTAATAATTTCTACAATCAAAGGGTCTGGGAGTGTGGAAGGTAAAAATATACTTGTAATTCTTGCATAAAGAAACACTAAGAAGAAGAAGACAGATTGTTGTGGTCTGATTTGTTCATTCAACATTTTTACTTTTACAAGAATTCAATGTAAAAATAAAACAAGTTATGTACCTTGGCTTTCGGTGGACTTCTTCAACAAGTATCCGGCGCAAAACAGCGGTGTTCTTTTTACCAGTATTAGAGTCGAGGGCCACGTTCTATCTTCATAAAGACATAATGCTGACAAATACCAATAGTCTCGTGTACAAATGCTCTCATTTATCACTTTACAGACTGTGGCAGAGCTGAGGGACGGTGCCCTTGGAAAGTTGGATACAAAAAAGTGGCCAAATAATCCATCAACTATTTTAGATCAATATAGAGATTTCTGATGTATGGATGTGTTTGTAGCCAGTCTTGCGCTCAAATAATATTAAGAAGAATTGCTGTTGCTTTTATATAGAAAAAAGTAGAAAGTATCCCATGTAAAATGTTATGGCGTAAGCTAGCGATGCAAAACGGTAGCGCTTGGGGCAAGTAACAGTGTCTGTGGTGGTTCTGATGATCGGTGATTTCTTTTTTGAGTCTGGTGTCTTTGTTTTTGTCTTTGTTCATGTAAATAGATCACTATTGAGCCTGTGTGTGTCACTATTTGAGGCCGTGGGCGGTAAGCTGATTGGCTGAGTGAGGGTGGTCCTCTCTTTTTCCACTTTTCAGTCTGAAACAGCTGATCCAAAGATGTGACAGAGGCCAAAAATACATTAATGTGAACGTAGAACCAAACTTTGTTGAGAGCGAGGAACTAGTTGGACGGACTGTATCGCGTAGTTCAATTTTTTTTGGTTTGAAAGTTACAAAATGTAAACACTAGAACTCCCAGAGCAGTCATTTTGACGGCTTTTAGTTTTGAAAGCGTCATTACTGGCCGTATGTATATTTCTGGTCTTCATAACTTTGTGACATTCTGGGTCTTTATTTCTGTACAACTGATGGATATTATTTTCACTCTCTTTAATGTATGTGATTATTTATTTCAATGCCTTGTGTGATTGCTTCTATCTTGTTTTGTTCAGCACTTTGAGTTGCCCTCTGTATGAATTGTGCTACACAAATAAACTTGCCTTGCCCTGCCTTTGTGAAATTATCTGTTACTTTTGAAATGTGGGTAGTTTCTCCAGGGTGAAACGTGGGCTTGCTTTTCAACCAGAACAGAGCAAGTGCTAGTTACCATAGCAACATGTTTACTTGCTAACAGTTAGCATTTGGTCAATTTTCATCATACAGTATTTCTGCTGCATTTCAGTTATATTCACCAGTTTTTAGCACATATTAAAAGTGAATAAAGGTAAAAAAATAGAAAAAAATTGTGAGTTGTGTCACTAACTCACTATTTTCGGGGATTTCTCACAATTCTATTGGTTTGAAAGGGGGCAGTTAAAAGTCAGCCATAACTATACTTGAATCATTGCTGTGTTAGTAGCTGTAAATATTCACAAAAAGGACAGCAGCATACGCCTTTGTAAACCATACTGGGTGACTTTGGTCTGTGAAATGCGCTATATAAATAAAGATGACTTACTTACTTACCTTGACTTTTGCACAACACATTTTGACACGTCTTTGAGTTTGACAGGGCCAAGCGACTTCATTTACCTCACATCCTCGCGCTTGTGGAACCAAAAACACTTGTTAATTAGCTAAAGCGTGCCACAAAACCAACCCGGGCCTAAATCTGGACCCCACAGGCGTCTTGTCCAATCACCAGCGACTTCTCCCTGTTTGACTTTTGACAGGTTCTTTAGCCTCGATGGTCCCGTCGACACCACCCAGGTAGTCCGGCCGTAACGTTACCCGCCACCTGAGACCCCCGGCCTGCACTCTCGCTCCCCTGGGGTCAGGACGTCCCGCTGTGGCCCCCAGGGTATTTCCAGTGGGCAGCAGAGAAAGCTCCGGAACGGCACATTCCGCTGGGAGGTAAATTTGGAGTTAACAAGCTCTCCTAAATAACAGTGACAGAGAGGACGGATAACCAACTCTACTGCGAAAACTCTATTTGAGGGGAGTGTGGTGGTGATTGGTGCAGAGCTGTTGGCGAGGACTTAATAAAGACTTTTAGAATAGATTTGTGATTGTGTGGACTGTGCCTTTATTGCCATTGTTAGTAATTGTTAGATGTATTTATTTGTGTGTTTGAATGGATGGATGTGTTCTGATGGACGCCTGAATTTCTCCTACAGGGGAACAATGAAGTATCTATCTATTGATCTATCTTTCTATCCAGCTAAAATCAAGAACAGTCTTATAGAGAACTAAATGTGTAAATCATAGAAAGGTGAATGTCTTTTGGTGACAGGGCTGTTAACATTTAAAATGCATTTATGATCTCACATTTTTTCTCCAATCTCTGAACTGAAGAGTACAGACTGAAACTGTGAGGATGTGTGAATAGGTATGAAGAAGATGACAAAGTCTGGGATCGTGTCTTTAATTCAGACAGAAAACATGTTTTATTGTCGTTGGTAGAGACAGCACGAACACGAACACAAACAATGATGATACAAATTTTATACAGCATGGAGGAATGGAGTCCTCCAATCAGCAGTTGCCACAGTGCCAGTAGCTTGATCTTCAGAAATCAAAACATGCAGTGGAAAAGTTGTGCATATTGTTGAATGATGAGTTAGAACTTTAACCACAGTTGCTTCAAAGTGTCATGAAATCTCTAAATTTAAAGCCTTTTTCAATCAGAGAGCTACTTTTATACAATAGAAGAGGCAGAGAGCTAATACTTTTTTCCAGTCGTACTAAAAATCTATCTAATAATTACAACAAAACATGGAGCACACATTTAAAACATACCATAATACTGTAATACCCTATATTTATACTTATCTGGTAGCTCCCGAGCCACAGGTTGGAGACCCCTGGTATAAACCAATGGCTCCTCAGTGTTTATTGATCATTTCCTGTGTTTGAACTGTTAACGTCTCTGATCTGTTGTTGTTGAATCAGCAACTTTGTAAAGTCCTCCGAGACGACTGCTGTTGTGATTTATGGCTACACAAAAATAAGTGAATTGAATACAAGTTTGAATATCAATAATTTTGACTTAAGGGATGGGGACATATGTGAGCTTCCCTAATCTAAAGAAAACAACAAACATTGAGATTATTAAGATTAAGTCCCACAGTGGAGACATTTCAGTGTTGCATCACGAGTTACAGAACAGTAGGAATGAGGAGTACAAGATAAATGCTCTTTACGATCATAATTTGAAATAGAATCCCAAACTCTAGCATAAAACGAAGCAGTTTAAAATCTCCGACTTTAGCATAATAAGCAAAAAAGTTTCAAATCTCCCACTATGGCATGATGAAGAAGCAAGGCTAAAGTACAAAAACCTAATCATTGAAACCTCTCCGTGTGACAGCAGCAGTGAAGTGTCCCAGTGTTCAGTCATCGGGGCGGTCTGCGGTGGAACAGGTGCGC